CTCTCTCTCTCTTTCTTTCTCTCTCTCTCTCTCTTTCTCTCTTTCTCTCTTTCTTTCTGTCTTTCTCTCTTTCTCTCTTTCTCTCTTTCTTTCTTTCTTTCTTTCCTTCCTTCTTTCTTTCTTTCTTTCTTTCTTTCTGTCTCTCTCTCTCTCTCTCTGTCTCTGCCTCTCTCTCCCACTGTCTCTGTCTCCCGGTGTCTCTCTCTCTCTCTCTCTGTGCCTCTCTCTGCCTTTCTCTGCCTCTCTCTGCTTCTCTCTGCCTCTCTCTGCCTTTCTCTGTGCCTTTCTCTGTGCCTTTCTCCGTGCCTTTCTCTATGCTGCTCGTTTCTGCTGGCTTCTGCTGGCTCCTGCTGGCTCCTGCTGGCTCCTGCTCGCTTCTGCTCGCTTCTGCTCGCTTCTGCTCGCTTCTGCTCGCTTCTGCTCGCTCTCTCTCTCTCTCTCTGTCTCTCTCTCTCTCTCCATGTCTCGCTTTCCCTTTCTCTTTCTCTCTGTTTGGCTTTCGTTTTCGTTTCCGTTTCTGTCTGTCTCTGTCTGTCTCTATCTGTCTCTATCTGTCTCTATCTGTCTCTCCGCCTTTCTCTGTCTCTGTCTCTGCCTTCCTCTGTCTTCCTCCCTCTCTCAGTGTTTCGTTGTGCTTGTCCGTGTCTTTCTGCTTGTTTGTCCGCCTGCTTGCCTCTGCTTCGAGTCTGCGATTGTCTGCCGGCATCTGCGCATCACGGTCCTTGCCTGCCTTTTTCTTCCCTTCTCCTGGCTTCTTCCCGGGCCCGGTGCTGCCTAGTGGAAAAAATGACGAGCCTGACCCAGCGAGCCTCGTGTTCAATCCCTGGCGGCGCCGGGTGCAAACAACGCAGCACCAATGGCAAAGCGCGCGCCTCAGAACGACGGGCCCAACTAGGCAAGGTGGCCCGGCCCTGTGAGGAATCTCTGCGGTCTCTGCCTCTATCTTTTTCTCTTTGTTTCTCTTTGTTTCTGATTTTTTGTTCCTCTCTCTCTCTCTTTCTGTCTCCCCGCTCTTCGCCTCTCTCTCTCTCTCTCGCTCTTTCTCTCTTTCTCTCTTTCTCTCTTTCTCTCTTTCTCTCTTTCTCTCTCTCTCTCTCTCGCTCTCGCTCTCTTTCTTTCTTTCTTTCTTTTTTCTTTCTTTCATTCTTTCTTTCGTTCGTTCGTTCTTTCTTTCTTTCTTTTGCTCAATCTCGTTTTCTTGCTCTTGCTGGTTCTCGTTCTCTTTCTCTTCCGCTTCCTCTTTCTCGTTGTCTCTCTCTCCCTCTCTCTCTCTTTCCCTCTTTCTGGGGTTGCCTGTCCTTCTCATCCTTCTCCGTCTTTCTCGGTCGCTCCGTGTCTCCTTCTGTTTGTCTGTCTGTTGCGTTGCCTGCCTGTCTGCCTGCTTGGCGGTCTCTTCTTCTATCTGTTTGTTTCTGCTTCGGGTCGGCGGTTCTCTGCTGGCATCTGCGCATCACGGTCCTTGCCTCTATCTGCACCCTTCTCTTCCCTTCTCCTGGCCTCATCTGGGGCCCGGTGGTGCCTAGTGGAAAATATGATGGGCCTGACCCAGCGAGCCTCGTGTTCAATCCCTGGCGGTGCCGGGTGCAAACAACGCAGCACCAATGGCAAAGCGCGCGCCTCAGAACGGTGGGCCCAACTAGGCAAGGCGGCCCGGCCCGGTCAAGAATTTCTGCGCTGTCTCTGCCTCTATCTGTTTCTCTTTGTTTCTGTTTGTTGTTGGTTTTTTGGTCTCTCTCACTCTGTCTTTCCCTCTCCCTGTCTCTGTCTCTGCGCCCCTCTCTCTCTCTTTCTTTTGGGTTGCCTGTCCTCCTCATCTTTCTCCGCCTTTCTCGGTCGCCCCGTGTCTCAATCCCTCCGTGTCTCCTGGCCCGGTGCTGTCTCGTGGAAAAGGCGGCCGTCCTGAGCCACCGACCCCGGGTTCAATCCCCGGCGCGCTGGGTGGACAGCGGAGTGCCAAGGGCGCCGCGCCGATGGCACAGCGCCTGAGCTAGCCAAGGTGGCCCAGCCATGTGAAAAAATTCTGCTCTGCCTCTGTCCCCGTCTCCGTCTCTCGATTCCACTCCATCTCTCCTTGCGTGTTTGTGTTTGTCTGTGCATGTGCCTGCGTCTGTTTTCGTTTCTTCGTATGTGTCCGCCCTCTTTTTCGTCGCTTTTGCCGCCGGCGGTGGTTGTTGCGCTCTGTCGGTCTAAAACCTTTCCGACGGCATAGTTTCCACGGAGAGCCTCTCCCACAACCAGTGTTTACTCGGCTGCAAAGCTTGTCGCCATGAAAAGTCCGGCGCTGCCTCTGCCCCACCCAAAGCTTGAGCCTTGGCAGTGGCAAAGGCGAAGCGCCACTTTTCATAACGACAAGCCCTGCATCCAAACGCTGGCGCCGGACAAGGCTCTTTGTGGAAACTATGCGGTCGGAAAGGCTTTAGCATGCCCGAGCCACGTAAATTGCGAAGCAACAGTTGCTGAAGTGTGCTGAGGCCGCAACGAGAGGGGTGAGCAGCCAGCCTGCAGCAAGATGTCAAACAAATAAGAGCACAGCAAGGCAGCTAGTGCAGCGAGCCTTCAAGGACAACTTCATCTCCATGTCGCTGCTGTCAAGGAAGATGGAATACCTTGCATGAAAACTGCAGGACCCATGAGCCAAAGGAAGCACACGAAGCTTGATCTTTCAGCTTGTTAATCAGCCAAACACATAATTATATAAAAACCATGTAAAACCCGAGTTGCGCATTGGATCTATTCAGTGGTTTTCATGTTGGGACTGCCTGTTGAGGTATTCAATCTTAGGGGATCGGGTTGGTTGTAAGATAGAAAGATAGAAAGATAGATAGATAGATCGATCGATAGATAGATAGATAGAGAGAGAGAGATCGATAGATAGATAGAGAGATAGATAGAGAGACAAAGAGATGGAGATAGATAGAGATAGATAGAGATAGATAGAGACAGATAGAGACAGATAGAGACAGATAGAGAAATATAGATATTGATAGAGATTGATAGAGATCGATAGAGAGAGAGAGAGAGTTAGAGAGAGAGAGAGAGAGAGTGAGAGAGAGAGGTAGAGATAGAGAGAGACAGAGATAGACAGAGATAGATAGAGATAGGTATAGATTGAGATAGATAAAGATAGAGAAAGATAGACATAGATAAAATAGATAAAATAGATAAAATAGATCGATATAGATAGAGGTAGAGGTAAATAGAGATAGAGATAGAAATAGAGATAGAGATAGATATAGAGAGAGATAGATAGAGATAGATAGAGATAGGTAGATATAGATAGATATAGATAGATATAGAAAGATATGGAAAAGTATAGATAGATATAGATATATAAATATAGATAGAGATAGATAGAGAGAGATAGATAGACAGACTGACTGACTGACAGACTGACAGACTGACAGACAGATAGACAGATAGACAAATAGATAGATAGATTAGATTAGATTAGATTAAATTAGATTAGATTAGATTAGATAGGATAGATTAGGATTAGATTAGATTAGGATAGATTAGGATTAGATTAGATTAGATTAGATTTAGGATTAGATTTAGATTTAGATTTAGATTAGATTAGATTAGATAGATAGATAGAGACAGATAGATAGAGATAGATATAGATAGATATAGATAGATATAGATAGATATAGATAGATATAGATAGATATAGACAGCTATAGGCAGATATAGATATAGATAGATATAGATAGATATAGATAGATATAGATAGATATAGATTGATATAGATTGATATAGATAGATATAGATAGATATAGATAGATATAGATAGATATAGATAGATATAGATAGATATAGATAGATATAGATAGATATAGATAGATAGATAGATAGAAAGATAGATAGAAAGATAGATAGAAAGATAGATAGTTAGATAGATAGATAGATAGATGGATAGATAGATAGATAGGTAGATAGACAGATAGAGCGAGAGAGAGAGAGAGAGATGTATATATTTATTTTGCGTGTGGGTGCTTTCCGTTCCTTTCTTAGAGAAGGGCTTATTTCAACCCATTTACTTCTGGTAGCAGAGCGCAGCTAGGGAAAATGGCCCATTTATAGCTGATTTCTGATTTACCTATGAAATATCTTGGTTTACTGGGGGGTAGCTTTCCTTTCGTTTGGGGCGTAGCCATGTGCTCTGATGGGTTTCCGAGAATTCCTAATGTCCAAATTCTGAAACATAACATGGGTGACCTACTGACCTACTGTTAATAGAGAGTTGAACTACTGGGATACCATGATATATTTGTAGCTCTTATGTACATCAGTGTTGCCAGAACAAACGATGTCGGGAAGAGCATCCACATCAGCCTTTCTGAAATACCTATTGTTATCTATTGTTTAGACCATGGTGAGTTAACATCCCCCACAAGCTCCGTCATTTTTCGACTCCCCATTTCTGGGAAGTTGACCCACGGCTGATGCGCGCTTTTCTCTGATTCAGCCAGATCGCGCTTTTTTTAACTGGATGCCCTTCAAAAATAGGTCATTCTACCATTCCAAAGCCATCATAAGCTGACCTTATACCCCAAAGCCAGAACCCTCCACTCTGCTAGAGTTTCGTGGGCATTTGTGCATTCTTCCCAGTCATGTTATGCAGCTCTGACAACATCGTTTATGCACCATTGCCGAGGCACCAAGGAAGCCGACCACCGATTCTGAGACTTTGCGTCCTGCATGGTTCCACACTTCTGCGGCAAATTCTTCTTCCACTTTGCGTTGCTTCTCGTCTTCCTCAGCCATCTCCTGCAAGAAATTCATAGAAATTCTGCAAGCAATTCTGCCATGTGCTTCGTACTAAACTTACTAAACCTCAGAACCCAGAGTTGGATATCCCCCACTATGGGGGCTATGGCCATCTATGGCCTATCAAGTGCTCCATGAACATTGTCATTTTGGGGTATCTGCACCATCCCCTTCCATCTCCCATATGGCATTCCATCTCGTGGCAGGTTCCGTAACTTGAATCAGTTCCAGGATTTCACCAAAAAACATCCACGGCTGTTGAACAACCAAGTGGGCAACCTATCTCACCAAATGGCTTTGGAAAGGTTTCGGATGGTTGGGGGAGCTGTATCAACCAAAAATGACGACATCACCTAGGCCTTTTGGAAATCTGCCAAAAGACTTGCAAATGCCCGGGACACAGGGCCACGTACATCCACGTACTGAAAGATACTGAAAGATACTGAAAGATCTCCAACCTTTGAACAAAATCCAGCTCAGCTACAGCTCCAATAGCTCCAAATAGCTCCAAATAGCTCCAATAGCTCCAAGCCAAAAAAAACCATCGGATCATCGGATCTCCTGCAAGACCTTCTCGGTATCTTCCAAGACGCGAAATTCCTGGAGCTCCGGGTTCCGTGAGCCGCCCAGGCTGTCGAAGATGAAGCGGAAGCGGTCCAAAAGTCCCTCACATCCCCAATCAATGGCCCAATGGAGGGAAATTTACACCGTGAGCAATTTTTGGGTGATCCAAATGATCCAAAGATCCGAAAAATGCTCTGAAAAACTAAAATAAATCACGGAATATCACGGACATGCTTCAGCAAAAGCGGGGCTGTGTTTGAAGCTTGTTCAACATATTTCAACTGTAGACAAACACGGCTTGGAAAGAATCAGTCTGCACCTGGAGTTCTGGAGTGAAAGAGTTGGTTGCAGCGCAGTGAATCAACTTCTTCTCGAGCTTCTTCCAGCAAGGTCGAAGCATCAAATCCTCCCCGTGACAGCTTCGAAGATTGGCCCGGCATCAACAGAGATCACAAACAAAGAACAGCATGCGCATATATATATATGTATATGTATATAATATTCATATACATGCCTAACAAAGCATCTTCTACGTACAGTAAATACAGATACATTAGATACAAATCAAACACTTCGGGTTTCACTTCTTCAAAAACCGACTGCAAGGGATCTATGGCAACCAATTGCTGGATGTCAAGTTACATCTCCCAACCAAAAAAAACACCCAAAATCGAAGATCGAGAAACGTGACAGCGTCTAGGTGGCAATCTGTATATTGTTTGTTTTGAACTTTACACTGCTACATACATCGGCTTGTACGGATTTGATATACTTGTTCATTTTCTCCCTCTTTCTCATGGCCTCTGTCATTGGTCTTAAAATTAAGTCTATCTGATACATGCAGATTGTAACTTTGTACGTTATACATCGTTATACAGTAAATCTTCATGCGAGTGTGCGTCTGTGCCAAGAACAAGACATATCCACACGATGTCCCAGCCAGAATGGACATGGCTGACAGTTCCAAGTACAATATTACCCGCCCTAAATTTGAAGGCAAAGCATTCGCAACCCCCGAACCAAGCCTTGCAAAAAAAACAGCCCACGAACCATTGTCACATCTTGTCATCTGGTGATTTGGACCCATTCCTAAGAATTCCAGTCATTTGCTTCATGATATCATCTATGCCAATGTTTCAGAGATATCATGCTTGCACCCTGTAGCCTACACCCTGTAACCCATATCCCGGAAAATCAGCCACTGCCAAAAACGAATGTTTGTAAGTTATGGGCAGATAAATGAACACCTGTTCACAACTTTGTTTACTGTTTTTTTTTGCCGGATATTCATCAGTATTGATTGTTTGCCATATAATGCCACAAAATGCCATATACTCATCGGGTTTGGACGCCAAAGCTAGATCTTTGGCAAAAACTTGGTTTACCTGGGTTAACACACCGGAACAGAATGGAACAGCCATTTTTCTGCCATCGCAGATTCTCAATTTCGAGGGAAAGCAGTGCCCTGGCGCCCTGGACACTGGACGTTTCTGACGGCTGAAGACGTATGAACATCGGAAAGAAACACCGGAAAGACCTTCCAAAAGTCAGCGGTGGAAAACGGGGAATATCGGGGAGTCATCCCCCTCTTTCCGGTCAGCTCCGTTGGGAGCGACACCAAATCAGATCCGCACCGGATCGGCATCGCATTCGGTAGGTGAAGCCTTGACCCCACTGCACGTCGACTCCTCGCAGGGCACCAAGATGTACCGAGCCGCTGAAGATGGTGTTGACATCTGATCAAAAAAGGACCGAGATGATTTATGAACTAAGTAGTAACTATCAGTCATTTTCAGTCAATCAGAACCTGATTTCCTGATTTCAAACCTTTTCAAACCTCCTTGACAGCATGCAATCGTGAAAAATGCGAAACCGTTTGCAGTGCTTGAATGTGCTTGATCTTGGCAGTGAGACACATTCTCAGTAGACTTAGAACTTAGAACATCTTGAGTCATGGATGGACTATACGATTCAAACTGTTAGCGGGCTGAAGCATGTTTTTTTCGGCCTGGCTGACCACTGTGTCATCGCTGGTGAAGCTGGATCCGAGGAACTGCTCCCGTGAACCTTGCTGTGAGACTAACATGGACCAACCATGTACCATGGCAGATATGGCAGTTGAAAGATGTTGAAAGA